CTTTAATCAGGCAAACACTGAAGAATACTTTCAGAAGCAGCCTGAATTAATCAGGAAACAGGCACTTAAGAAGCAGATAAAGATTATGGAGCTCAACCTGAAAAGATGAGCTTCAAACTCAGCAAAATCTCACCCATCTGCTCAGCCTTCAAATATGAAAGTAACCAAAGAGTTCACTGGAAAAACATTTACCCATTATGCAAGGTCCCACAGCAAAGCCCCAGCTCGCTGGCTGTAAATGCTTCAGGTTCAGGGCTCTGTGGTCTGGCAATTTCTGACATAGCAGTAAGAATGATACCTTCAGCACTTACCAGCTGCTCGGCAGGAGGAAGACTCACAGCATGCAAGAAAGTAGCGGCTGTATCATTGCACTCACTTAATCCCAGCATCTAGACAGCAGAAGGGAGCTCACACTGCAGATATGGAAAGAGGATCCTGAAACCTCTTCCTGAAACATTTCTACATGGATCCAGGCCCACCATGCTGCCAGCGGCCATGCAGCTTGCATGGCAATTCTGGCCCCAGATGTGGCAAGAAGCCAAGAATTACTTACATCACAGGAACACCTGCCAGACACACAAGAGGGCTGAAAGAAACAGATTCAGAGTATGCAAGCACAGTGAAGAAGCTCAAGAAAAAAGCTCAAGAGTTAATGCAAAATCTGATCTGCAAGTTCTCCAGAGGTCAGGAGCAATTGCCTCTAAGAAGTTAGCTATTTGCCACCTATCAGCAGTGAGGACTGGGCAGGAAGGGACCACAGTGCAGAGGTCTGAGGCCATTGCCCAGCTTGCTGGGAGTCTTTCTGGATCCCAGACTGACACTCCTGGAAAAGACAGCCTTGTAGGAAAGTAAAGGGAGCTGTGACAGGAACACCTTGCCAGATATCAGGAAAAGACCAGGGCTCTCCCCAGTGACAGATGGAGAGTAGAGTCCTACTACAGCTTTGCTTTGGCTTGGCTGCTTTATTCACACACACGGGGAAGTGGCTGAGGGTCACTGAAGCAGCACGAGCCACAGTTTTGCCAGCACAACACAACACTATCAGTACAGCATGGCAACTCTGCAGTTGCATTCCCAGGAACCAGGAAAGCATTCCCACCAGAACAACAACCTTGGCCTGTAAAGCTTTAGATTTAAACCACATGAACAAAGCACATATGCACAGAAATATAAAGCTTCTAGTTTTGAATCCTTTACTTGGAATTTGCAATGTATGAACAAAGCAGGGTGTCAAACACAGGCCTCCCATTCCTGAATTAGCACCCAAGCCAGACACCATCGCTGCTCTCGACTTCATTTTGCCTCCCACAAACCGAATGAAGGTACACAGAAGATGTTTCAAACTAAAACCTATTCCTGCTAGCATTCAATGACCCGACTTTGCTCTTCCCTCACAAGTTGTTACATTGTGATTGACACCACGGGGTTGGGCCAGCTCCGTGTAAGTGAGCTGCATTCTGCTGCAGTCCTGGATGAACAGAGTTGACTTTCATGGAAGAAGCACAGAACCATTTTGATACACCGAGCACAGCAGCGGTGTAAAGAAAGCCAGCAGCCAAAGTAGCTTGGAGTGCCAAAGAGAAAACAAGCCTCATCATACAGCAATTACATTTTGCAACAGATAAACCCTGGCAACAGGGATGCGATTCCCTATTAATGCAACCACACATCCTGCATCATGAGGCAAGTTTAGAAACCAGAGGCTTAAAAGGAACTTCAATCTCCTCTGCCACTGAGACTTGAACTTCCATTTAGATGCTGAACTGCCTTTGCAAATTGCTCCCACTGCCCACAATTACAGCCATTTGGGTGACAGTCACCTGCTGCTCCTGGTCTATTTAACACCAGGGAGGAATGAAAAGCAGACAGAAGAGTCACAACTGGAAAACACAGAAATCAATTAAAGATTGTTTCTAGTTCCAGGATTCAACAGCTTTGCTTTTACAAGGTAATACTAAATTATGTATTTTATAAAATTAAAAGCCATTAAATTTAATACTTGGTAATTGGCAATTTGTAATTCTCTGAACCTGAAGTTCAGTATTAGCAACTGATACAAGCACAGACTAATCAAAATGGACATTAAGGGCAACAATAACCTATAAGGGAGTTGGCAGCTTAAAGAGGAAGGTCTTTCACTGTTCTAGTATAGCCCTGTAGCTGGAGATCTCTTTCAAGAGACTTCTGCTACTCCAACCATGCACGAGAGATTATACCATCTTCTTACAGAAGAAAACAAATTGTTCTGCAATGTGAGATCAGGGCTAAATGATCTTCTGTCAAGAGCTTCAGCGAGCAGACTGTGGAAATTTGTGCCCTGAATCTATCAGTGCTTAAATACTGATCTAAATTCTTCTCAAGCTTTCAAAAGAGCAACACTTAAAAGTAGCCTCAAACCATTTAGAAAGGAAAGCAACAGAGACAGCTCTCTCATTCCAGTTCTTTCAGTCCTGAAACACGCGCACACACACAACTACCGTGTGTTGTCCTTTGTAACCAACAATTTGCCAGCTGCTTCCCCAGGCAAGGAAGTCAGCATTTGGTATTCAGAGCATTTGCAGACGTTAGGGTTGTGCAAAAACAACCTCCTGCTAGTCTAAAGAAAAAGCAGCCCTCTGGTCCTCACCTACTGCTGTTGCAGGAAAGGACCAGTAGCTGTAAGCAGTGATAACTCCTTATATCCTACCCATAGCTAACAATGCATTTAGAGATGCAAGATGTAGCAAACAACACAAAAACCTCAGCTTTGAATATCACAAAAATCAAGGGGGCAAAAAACATTGAAGGATTTTCTCAAGGAGCTAAAGAAAGTAGCATGTTGTAACTCTGGTATCAGCAGAAAACAGTCCTCCAGACCTCAGTGCAAACTTTCCATTGCTGGCTCTGCAATCCGTTGATACAATGGCTGCTGTAAACAAAAAATACATTAGCCTTGGTGGTTTGCAGGATTACAGTCTCACTGTTACCCAGGCTCCAGCTTTTGCCTATTTGATCAAAAATTAGTAGAAACTTGTATTGATTCCTTTGCAGTTCCCCAAAGGAAACATCAGTACTGAGCAGTACAAAGGACACTAGAAAAACAACTGGTGCAAAAAATAAGCCTTTATCTAACTTAGCTATAGCTATTAAAAAAATACAGATAAGATACTGATGCCAAAAGCACAAACTTGGCATCTTAGGAGCCCTGGACAAGTTCTGTTCACATAAGGCAAGCCACTTTTTGAAGGACAGTGAAAATTTCCCTGACCCCTCCGACTAATATTATCAATAAAAGCAAGAGCAGCACTGCTAAAGCTAATCTGTAATCACCACAGAAAATCTAGAATGCCAGAATCAGAACAACACCTGGGTAATTCTATGCTTAAATCATAATTATCTGGGGCTTCTTTTCATAGGTAAACAAGAAGCTTCAAAGCAGATGCTTTTATTAGCTTCCTACTTTAAAGGGTCCTATAATTCACAAAAAATTGCACAAAAAACTTCCTTTCCACAAGTGGAAGACTCATGGTCTGAAGTAAGCCTACAAGGCAATTTTCCCTGTAAATCAACCCCCTCCTTTAAGTGATACACTTCTATGCTCATGTTAGGACATGACACTCACCTACAACACACAGATGGACATGCCCAGACTCCAAATAAGATTGCACGCTGATTTCATTGAACCCCAAAGCACCACGAATGTGGTTCTGCCGTATGCCATCTGATGATATGTCAGAACCCAAGAAGGCTTTTGTACAACAGCCCTGCAATCCTATAGCTTCAGCTATTCTCACCTGGCGGGAAGGACATCACATTTGAACCAGAAAAAGTACGGGAAAACTGGGGACAAACAAGCTGGCTGCTGAGAAGGAGAGCGTGCATCATCAGAAGACAAAATTTCTGTCTGTAATTCTGCTACAGATTTTTACCCATCCACAGGAAAGACTTAGCCTTTCCTTTGTAGAAAGGGTATGACAGATACTCTCTCTCAGAAAAGCTGCAGTTGTACAGTTCTTTGCCATTTCTCCAGTGAATGAAGGGTATTCCTACAGCCTGGATTGTGCAGGGAAATAGGGAAGTCGCTACTATGACTCATGGCTCTCCTCAGATTTTTCAAACAGCTCAGGCAGCAGTGCCGACAGGAAAAGCAAGGGCAGCGGAAGCCCCTGCTCTCTGCTTCCTCCTCCAGATTGAGGCAGCGTGGGTGTTATTGCTGGGAACTGCTGCCCTCTGCTGTCACACAAAATAGAGGCGAAATTCTCATCTGACAAAACAAGGTTTACAGCTACGTATAAAAAAAAAATACACCATGGTAAGAAACACAAGGTCACAGTGCATTCAGATTTCAAGTGGGTTCACCCAGGCCCCTCAGTTCTGGTCTTACACATTTATAAAATGCCTGCTCCTTTTTGCAGCCCACCCTGAGAGGCCTCTTGGAAGCCAAATTCAGCCTAAAGGATGATTTTACCTAGCCCATCACCTTTGCCGCAGCTGTTTCAGAGATAAAAGCACTCAGCTATTAGTCCATTCAGCAAAAGACCTCTTACTGTCTGCAGATCTTTGTAGTAGATTGTGAACATCACCAGGGAAAGTGCCAGCAAATATCCTGCCCCCAGCACAGGGCTTGGACTAGACTGAAGGAATAAAATGCATTACCATCATCCCTGTGGGGCCATAGGCGGTTCTCTCCTTGTCTCAACATTCACAGTGGCAGTGCCACCGGGAAGCTTTGCCAACCATTTTAAACACTGTCCAGATGGGGAAGCCTAAGTGAATTTACAGGCATATTTTGAAGTTGAGTAAAGACCGAGGTCTGCATATAAGGATACTCTGCAGCCCTCAGGCAGAAAAATCTTGGCCTCATTTTCCTTGAGGTTTCTATGTGCTCATGATAAAAAAAAGTGTAAAGGAAAAAGGAGAAGATACACCATGCTTCACAGCAGATCTCCAGCCTGCCCACAGAAGAGCAGCACCCAGGTTGCTCTCAGCCCGCAGTAGACACATTACATGTGCCAGCTTACCTGACTTCCTCACCAGCGAAATCGAACACTTTGGTGATTGTCACTTTTCCTGAATCTTTTGGCTTCTCAGACTCTTTTGGTTTCTCCTGAAGCTTGTTCCCACTCTTCTCTTCTTCACCCTACAAAATATACGAAGGAGAAAGCAAAACAATGCATTTGTGGAGCCAAGCAAAATTATCACTCCAAGGGGCCAAAGACCCAACACAGACCTCAGGTAGCACTGCAATTTAGGCTGGCTGGTCAAAGCAAGTCACCCACAGACAAGAAAAAAGAAACAAACGCCCCTGCCACCAGAAGAAAGTTCCCCACTTTGGTTTCAGGCTCTCATTGGAGCTCAAGGATCAAAACAGACCCAAACCAAGAAGTGAAATTGTAATTAAGCGTAGGAATGAGCAAGCATACACTGCTGTGGTTCAGAAAGTAAGCAAAAGCCTGAAGACTCAGTTCTCCCAAACTACACACTGCCAGGTGGTAAAGCTACCAGAGTAGATTACACAGAAACAGGTTTATTTTTAGTCAAGAATATAGAAGAACACAACCCATCAGCAGGAGAAGCAAGGCCGACCTTCACAGAGAACCCTGACAATATTAAGTTACTTGTCAATAACGTCTCTCTATTTTGAGAGGGGAATATCTTTATTAAGCAATTTGTCAACAATGCCTGTTAATTTACCCAGTGACAACTACAGCTTTTAACAGCATACATAAAAAAACTCAGACCCTATAAATAATCAAAACAAAACCCAAAATTCTGGCTCTAAATCAACCACACACCAGAGAGATCTTCAAGCAGACAACTTCAGTCCAAATTAAGAAGACCACAAAGAGAACTGCATCTCTCCATAAATTATTCTAGGCTATGGAAGAACTTTCAGACACCAATCATGTTTTAGCAATCCACTCATAAAAGTAGAATTGCTCAGAAAAGAACTTTTCCTCTCTCCTTCTCTCTAATTCTACCTGCAACCATCTCAGCTGTTCGGCCAGTAACTATTGAGGTGGAGAGAAGCAGGAGAGTTCAGATGAAAGGACTCTTCTTCAAAAAGTTGCAAGCAAAGATTACACAACTACACTTGTTCTGCAACCTTCCAACAGTTGTAGAAGGAAGCTTCATACAGCGAGAAGAACTTGTCAGGCAGCACTGAGTCAAGCATCCAGACTTTTGTCACAAAATACTTTTTTGGCTGACCGCTCAAAAAAAAAAAACAAACCCAAACCAAACAAACCAAAACCCAATTCTAGCAAGAGAGGGTCAGTTTTGGTACCTTCTTCCCTTTTACCACCTTCAGCATGAAAGGCTTTGGCAAAGCAAATACATGCATTTGGTTTTATTAAGAACCAGATCTTTTTAAATAGGGGAATATGCACAGAATTCTCTCTACAGAAAACCTCTGCAGACAGAGAGCAAGAGCATGTTAATGGGGCTTATAAAGGAAACTAGAGAAAGCTAGATTCATTCTTCTTACAATCTCCATCCCAACATGCAGCCTCTTCCAGACCCCCCTCACTGTACAAGGATGAAAGGCAAGGCACAGAGATGTCAGCACAGGTCTCTTCTGTTTCCCTACTCGCACACACACACACAGTCTCCCCCCTTTTTTTTTTTGAGCATCAGGGAAGGCACAAGCCTCAGGGGAGAGCTGTGCCCACAACTACAACTCAGACCAAAGCTCACTGTGCTGCTCCTACGTCACAAGGAGAATCCAGGACCACAAGGAGAAGCCAACAGGGCTCCGTAGGACACTGTGAGATGCTGACAATCAGCTCCAAAAGCAACACTGCCAGATCACAGACCTCTGCAGCTGGAAGGAAACCAGCAGCTTATAGTTTGCTCCACAGTGGGGCTCCAGGCTTACAAAACAGATGGGGCAGGAGTAAACCAGGCCTCTTCCCAGCTCTGACTGATACCTGGTACCAGCTAGAACCAGCGCTGTGTGCCCTAAAGCTTCAGGCCCTTCCCATACTCCCTGGGTGAAGGCCCAGGCCCCCATTACCTTTTTAGTTTGCATCACTTGTGTGGCAGCCACCGCTTTGGGTTTCTGTCCCACATCACTAAGGAAACTGGCCCAAAGAGCATCCTCTTTCTTTTTTTCTTCTTCTTCTCTGTTTCTTTCCACCTGCTCTACATTATCTACTTCCTCCTCCTCCTCCTCTTCATTCTGCTGAGCCTTTTCTTCCTCTTTGTCATCTGGCTCCAGCAAGAGACCTCCTTTCTTCCTCTTCCTGGAAGCAGATGCCAAACAAAACAAAAAAAGAAATACTGAGGTGCTGCAACACTATTCCAGAGCTGAACGGTAAGCATTGGTGAAACAACACGGTATTTTGTATTCTCGCTAAGACATTCTACCTGAAAGGTTCCCCCTAATCTTAGGGGTGAAGCTACTTAATTAAAAGATGACGCTGTTCAGAAAACACAGCGAGACTGAAGCAGGCAGTCCCCATGAAGTGGACTGGCACGTGCATCCGTGTATCTGTAAGTATATAACAGACTCTGGGGTACTGCAGGAACCACGAGGGGAGGAGAACTTGGCCTGGAGAGGAAACAACCTTAACTAAACTGCACATGTATGGGTTTTTTCTCCCACCGAGAAGTGCATTGCTCTTAAAAAGGCTTACTAAAAGGAAAATAACTAGCTCCTGGGGAGGGTCTTGCAAGCCTGAGGATCTCTGCCTCTGACGCTAAACCAGACGAAGAAGAACGTTTCTCGTTTCTCAAGCCCTCAGGGCTGCCCCAGGCGGAACGCGCACGGCGGAGGCGGCTCCCAGCCGGGCCGGGCTGAGCCAAGGCGGATTCTCCCACCCGAGAGAGGGGATACCGCGTCTGTGCGGAACCGGGGGCGGCTCCGCCCGCGGCCGTACCTGCTGGCGGGGCGGCGGGGGCTCCTCCTACCGCGGGGCGGCCGCGGGCTGTCCGCCGCCTCCTCCCGCACCAGCTCGCTCACGTCGTCCTCGCTGTACTCCGCACCTGCAAGCACAGCCGGTGAG